TATGTAATGTTACTTTTGTACTGATATAGTGACATTGAATAACAATATTAGTCCGTGATATTTAGAAATGCTGAACTATTCAATATGTTTTTCTCCATAAATGTTTTTAGGTCCCACGATAAGTTTTGAATCTTTTTTGTGTAGAAAATTACCTTTTATTGGTTACTGCATGTAATTTACAAGAAGTGTAGCTATAGTTGTTGGAGAAGCTTATAAGTTATAGAACGTACTTACATAGTACAAAATAAATGAGTGGATTATACATAATGTTATGAGAGCTTTCAATTCATTTTGTTTTTACTGTTCCAACTAAACAATCGTTTTTTTATTTTTATTTTTTTAAGTATTACTGACTTAAGATTATACTTTGAAAATCTTCGCTATACTTCTCCGCTAAATTTTTTATGTTTCTTCTTGATTATTTGATAAATTAATGTTTGGTAAGAAACAGTAAAAACTCGGCAATTTGAGAATTATGTGTAGTGGACCAATCATGAATCTGTCTGCTAAAATTATCTAAAAAATGAAAAATGGAATAGGTGTACTATGTTATTTTTATAGTTATTGGTTTGRTTGATGGTTTTTACATTTGTTAAATTTTTGGAGAAATTGGTCCTGCATGTATGCTTTTATGGAAGACTCGCATACCCTCGAACAATCTTATATTTAGCATTTGATATCGTTAAAATTATTTAAATCCATAAGAATAGCCTAAAAAACTACATAAGTACTATAACTATAAAAATTAGGTAACCTAAGGAATACAAATGAGTCCAAACTTCAAAGTATAAGTTAAAAGTTATAATTTATATAAGTACTATCAAGAAACGTAAATTCTCTCAACATCATGTCATTGATTTAAGGCCTTATGAACACATTCAAAATAAACATGTTACATTAATAGTTGATACATATCAAAGATAAGTATTACATTGATCTTAAACATTTTTTTTTCTTTTTCATAATACGTATGTATTATACCTGTTGTACCTACCATTAAGATTAATCTCATTTTCATTTTTAACAATCATCAACCACCTTTTTCTTTCTTTTGTTTGCTACTGAAATTGTGGACATCTACCCAGACTCATCTCTGGAGAGTAAGAGTTAAGAGTATACAGTATCAGATATTCATATAAGGGGTATTAGTGGACCACCCCTTTGGGATTTTCGCCACCACGATAAATTATTGCATTACAACAAACAAACTACGAGTTGAACATCATTACCTGAATTTGAAATTTCACCCCCTACCACAATCAGAAATAGRATATATTTGCACTACAATATTACCTAGTATATAAAACACATCCGCATATTTTTATTAATATTTTCAATAACTCGATCAAAGGAAAAAACAATGATTTCAAAATTTAAGTGAATTTMAAAATYAGTGATCTCCTGCAGCTTCTTTTCCTCTGCAACATACCTTCTAGAATATTTTCTACATCGACTTCGCAACTCACCAATTTATTACCACCGTTTTACTAGATAACAAGCACTACCAGACACCAGTCCCTAAAATTGTGTGTAGTACCTACGACACACTTTGTATATAGTTAGAAAAACTCAGTGTGTAGTACGAAATTTAAAAGTGTGTTATTCACATTAAACCTTAATAATAATATTCTATACAATTTTAAAACAACAATATTAATACATATTATCAATAAGTTCTTCGATCACAAAGAATAAAAAAAAAAAAACTATAACTTAATACTATTAATATAAGTAATATAAATTTATTTTTATTTATTTACTGATATTATGTATTATTATTTTCATGCATTTTGTACACTTAAAATGAGTTTWATATATATAAAAAAAATTTTTTCAACAAAAATTCTATTTCACAATTTTTTTAAAAGAACGTTTAAATTTGTTAAATAGAGGTTCTACTTTATTTAAATAAAATTATTTATTGTAAATACATATTATTGTTAATTGATAGGTACTATGTATAATTTAGATTGGACTGATTTGTGTGTATGTATATGTGTGTGTGGTACGAAAATTTGGATATTTTATGGACTGAGCACTGCAATCCATCATCGTGTGCGTCGAATTCCGGTCCTTCACCCTCTCTATATTTATAAACATTTTATCAAGTTACCGTGTCCTGTATTCCGCTGTCATAATCTTTCTGTGTCCTCATGATTCAMATGCTTCTAGACTGTGAAATTTTTTGAACATTAATGAACATATAATATGTTAACATGGCTTATTATTTATTATATAGGTACCTAGGTAGTTAGCATTTTAGAAATATAAGTATTAAAACAATGAATAGCAAGTTTGTTCCAATACATTTTGAAAAATGTATATATTTTGTCAGTTTRTGTTTACTTATAACTATATATACGATATACAAAATTGATATTCTAAAACATAACAACGTGTTGTTTTTTATACGTATGCTCGACAACTATTATGTAAATAACTATATAAGTACCTATAGGCTATAATTTTCATTCAATCGCTCTTAAGTTGACATCTTATAAATTATAATAAACTATAGCGAGCAATAAACAAATCGGGCGCGAGCTGTGCAGAATAAATTATGATTATTATTGTTACAATGTTACGTACTTTTGGTATATTAACTATCGTTAACCCAAATGTATTCATTTTCAGTGGCACCTATTGCAAAACGACTATTTATTCGGAATTAATTCGCATAATTTTTTTACAAATTAATTTAGTCTACTGAACACGCAGTTTTTTATTCAACTGTCATGACTTAAAGATCTGTTATATTGTATATCCTAGTCGAGGAATACTTTAACACGATTGCGTGGAACGCTGCGGTGTCGACGAMGACAACGTCGTCTGCCACAACTCGGTGACCATTGTTGTGCATGATTGAGTGAAACCATTATTATTATTAAAACTGCACGCTCGCCGTTTGGACCGTTCAGTCGCTTATTTGACTCCAACGCTGCGTTAATGTCTCTCATGCGAGTCAGAATAAACTCATAAACCTAAGACACTCCGACGTATTTTCCGCAAGCTAAAGTACAAACCTATTATTGGTATCTACCTATACGGATACAACATATTATACATTACGGTAATCGTTTTTTGGATTTTTCACAAACTTTCAGTAAGTCTTATATAGTTATATAATATAATATAGGCTATACCCAATAAACTCGTAGAAAATGTATTCTGATATTTTAGTATCCAAATAAGAAGATTAAATAAATTTTTTTAGAAATTATGCACATATTTTATCATGCTATACAATTATGTGCAGTAAAATTTAGTTGTTTTTTTTTTTTTGAAAAATCAAATATTGATTATATTTTGATAACTTTTTCAAATTTCAATTTCATAAACAATAATGCAATATTCCATAAGCTTTATATTTGTTGACCATTTCTTATAATTTATAAAAATTATTCAGGTAGACCTGTATTATTAACTACTACTTGTCTTAGCTAGTACTTAGTACTTGTCTCTAGTTTGTAATTTCAGCTAATATGTACTAAGTAGTTATTATATAAATATAAATAAAATATTTACCTATAGATGATTAAGGTTATATATTACGTATTAATATACGTAACACCATATTAGTTTTGATTTGTGTTTTCATTATTTTCATAAAAACATGTGCCAATATTTGTTTACACACCATGATTTTATTTACTGAAAAATAATTTTTCTTACAAAGATAAAAATTGTATGTACATATATGTATACGTGGACGGTGTACCCGTATATCTATAAAGTACTATTTGTACACATTTAACAAACGTTTAAAATAACACACCGATTCGCTCCACTAAGTATTACTGCAATAGAATTTGATATTACGGCAATAATTATTGACAGTAACTCGACTACTTATATTATACCTACTACTAAATACAATAACTGTAACCTACATTAATTTTTTTTAATGATTTGTAATTAAAATACATTTTTGCAGTTTTTTGTTCTGTATCTATTTTTTTTAGCTTGACTTTAATATCTATAATTTTATATATAGCAAATGTGCTTATTGTATTTTATTTTCACAGTAAATTTTAGTAAACAAATTTTAATAAAATAACTAAAATATTAAGCTACCTGCATTTAAATAATAATATCGTTTAAGTATATTTTTTTTAGATGGGTCACGACCAACCTCACTCATACGTTTGGCCTGCAGACTATAACTGGATGAAACCACAGCATAATGCTGAAGTTTCAACAGTAAGTCAAGTAAACTTCCCAGTCTCATCAACAGGTAAAGATCCAAAATCCATTAAATTAATCGTTTTTGAGCGTTGCGGCCCTGAACGTAGATAAACTGATTTTGTTTTAAATAAAGTAAAAGGGAAAAGTGTTTCTCTTGATATTAAAACGGTCAGATAATAAGCAACTATTGGTAATTTTTAACAAATCTACCGTGAAACAACTCTTACAGTTATTAACTATCATATTATAACACTCGGGGCTAATAGAAAATACAATAGATTCGGTTAAACTTCAAGAAAATATCAAAAACCTAAATACACAATAATGCCAATAATTTCATGAAATAAACTACCAAATACTTTTTATTTTTTTTTTACATATTAGGTATATTTTTACTGTCTTAAACGTACGTTGTAATTTTAATTTTAATCGTCTAATATATAKAATATATAATATAGCTGTTATAGCTATTTATATTTTATCTTGTTCTTCAAATCAGTAAACGTATAATTATTAATTTTATTATTATTATTCTATTTTAATTTTAACAAAATATACAACATTTCAGAAGTTCTGGTGCCATGGCTTTTATCTATGTGGATGATGGGAAATAAAACCCCTACAGACTACCCTAAACGTAAAGTTGTGAAAAAACCAAACAGAAARGGTCGGAACGAAAACACGGGGCTTAAAGATCGTTTCACGTGGGGCCAAATAGATTTGGAATATCCCAGTCAAGATTCAAAACAGATGGCTATCAATACGGGTGCATTTATACCAATTAACAACCTGTTATTGGGACTGGAAGTGTGGAAAAACAAGATGTTTTTAAGTATGCCACAATGGAGACCGGGGATTCCGGTAACGTTGGCGTACGTGAATTTGAACAGTTACACCAAGTCCCCAATGTTGAAGCCATATCCCTCGTGGAACTGGTAATTCGTTTTTTTTTTAAATCTTTTGTTCGTGGTTATAATATGTAATAATAGATGACCACGATTCGGTCGAGTAGTTCAAAATTATAAYGAACAACATAAGATCGTTATTGTAGTTCAAACATTTTTAGGTACTCTAATAACATGAACCGCTGTCATGGTTTGGTGTCTGTGTTCCGGATGGAAGTGGACAAGTGTGACCGATTGTGGGTGTTGGATACAGGCGCCATAAACTTGGCAAATAAGGTCGATCAAATATGTCCAACCAAGCTAGATGTGTTTGACTTGAAAACTGATACACATATTAAGCGTTATATCATCCCGAAAAATCAAACGTTAAAAGATTCGCTGTTTACAAACATTGTAGTGGAGATTCTCAACGATAATTGTGAAGATGCGTATGCTTACATGTCTGATGTATTTCAATATGGATTGGTTGTTTACAGTTATAAAGAGGTACAGACCTATAGATTTATGTACAAAACGCACTTACGCTTGTTTAAAAGTTAATCATTTATAAAACAGAMATCTGCACGTTTACCCGCGCGTCATAAATAGTTTGCGCGCAATAATACCCTATCGGTCATGTATACGTTTCGACAACAACATAAATAATGTTTAAAATAAATAATAATAATAGCATAACTACTGCAGGACGTCTCTCGCCGGATCAATCATCCGTACTTCTACCCAGACCCGCTGTACTGTCATTACAGCATGGATGGCATAACGTTCAACTGGATGGATGGTATTTTCGGCATGTGCCTGTCGCCGGACGGTGGTGTCTTGGGACAGCGGGTGCTCTAYTTCCATTCACTGTCCAGCAACAACGAGTTCTACGTGCCCACCGCATCGCTGCGCAACGGTACGCTCCGCGAAGGTGACATCATCGAGCATTTCTTTGCGCTCGACGATTCGCGGTGCGCACGCCACCAGTCGTGTCAATCGTCGGGCATGGCCGTGGACGCGAAAGGCGTCATGTACTACAACCTGGTGACCTCGGGCAAAGTGGGTTGCTGGGACACTAKGCGGCCGTTCAAATCAGTCACACAGGGGCTRTTGTCCAGCGGCTCGACACCACTCAGCTTCCCCAACGACCTTAAGGTGGATAAGGAGCCCGCGCAAAGGGTGTGGATGCTCAGCAACGGGCTGCATAAGTATCTGTACGGAAAAACGGACCCGAACCAGATCAACTACCGTATAATGGTGGCGTACACGGACGATGTCGTCAAAGGAACGGTCTGTGAAACCAACTGACCGCTCTATATATAATAATAATATAAAAAAACAGTTAAGTTAAAACTGAAATAGAAAAAACTAATATACACTACTTAAATAGTATTTAAAACCAAAATTCAAATTAAAAAAATTTTTTATTCAAATCGGAACTGAAACGACATTAATAGTAAAACCTCTACAAATATCTAATTGAAAATATATTAACATAATATATATAACATTTAACTATTTAGTATTTGTAACCATCTAATTTTATTTATAATGATAATAAATATTGTTTTATAACAATAATACTACCGTTGATAAACCGTAATAAATGAAAACCTCGGCTATCGAAAACATTTTAAAAGACAAAATAAAAAACTAAAATTGTTATAAAGACCCAAATTAAATTCAGTTGTTGCCAAATTTAGGACAAGACATATTATAATATATTATCTATTCTAATTGCTCAACATTATTATGTATTTGATGCTTACGTATAAATATTAAATATATTATATAGACTATAGAGTATGTTTATTACACCATATACAATATACATAGGTATATTTAAACGATATTGTTAAATATCGACAGTATATCTTAATAATTTACAACTTTATACGAGTGCCAAATAGTTTTTCTGCGTGAAAAATTATAGTTATACGTGTTTGCAAATCGCAGTGCAAAAATAAAATTCACCCAGTAGGTGATCAAATAATGAATTACGTGTAAAGGTCCTAGTCAACATTAAAACGTGTTAAAATTTGTTTATGAAAAATAACTGTTGTAATTTTTTTTTAAATACCGCTTTTTATACTATAGTGATAACTGATAACTGATAGATAATCAGTAATCTAACGATAAAAGAAATATTTAAAAACAATTTGCACATTATGTAAAATATGTATAAAATACTAATAAACAGATAAATAAATAGATACCATAATTATATTATTTATGTTTGAAAATTTAAAAAAAATTAGCTGAAAATCTCTTTTTTAATTCTTAAAATTGTTTTTCATAGGGATTAGTGGAAGGTGCTGAGTAATATTATTTATTATTATGATCAAACTATTTGTCAAAGGCACTCATAAAGTCATAACAGTTATAATATTACTTATTACTAAAGRTATAGGTTTATATTTAGTCACATTATACCTATAGTTTTATATGCACTTATAATATTGTAGCTTATAGGTTAGGTTAGGTTTATACTCTATAATGTCTAGTCATATACATTATGATTGTATGTAATTTTTCTTCATTATGTACCTTTTAGGGTCAAATACATAATAATTAGTCTCGTAAAAATAGTTCTTCTATGTACTCAGTACCGCCTAGTTTAATAAAAATAATTTAGAAAGTATAATACGTTTATAAACAATTATTAAATTAATACAGCGATAGAGAACCGAATATATTRAAACGAATGTGAACGATGTTAGTGTTATGAGCTTTTGAAAACTTTTACGACGGTGCAACTTCTACCACTGAGGGAATCAATATTGTTAATTCATATATTAAAATCTCTGCAATCTAAAATTGTTTTAATACATTATTTGGCTCAAATAGTTGTATGTGTATTGTGTATTAAATTATATTTAATTTGGATATGAGTGTAATAACTGCTGTTTATTATCTTTAACACATTTAAAGAACTATTTTCATTTTTGTGTAATTGGCCTTTTATTATAAGATTTATTATATGTATTTTAATGTAAAATMCCTACCAAATACCAATGTATTTAATATTTAAATTATTAATATAGGTATATATTTATGTATATAGAATCTTAGATTATAATTATTATAGATATCTATGAAAAATAAAAACATATGACTTACAGAATTTTAATTTGTATGAATGAAATAAAATAATTTATTCATAATCTGTGCGTAATTCATAAAATTATTTAGTACCTATTCTATTGGTTAGAATAATTTCTTAATAATTATTTTAATACTTTATTATCAGATACATTAGATACACTCAGTGGCGTGTCCAAGAATATTCATTGGGATGATTGGGTGTTATAATTTATAACTTATAAGTAATAGTACACTTAAAATATAAATTGTGGTGGTAGTATCAAAGATAAAAATAAATGGCTTTCAGAATTGTGGGTCAATTGTGAGGGGGTATACTCCCTCCGCGAAAGTATTCCCTAATTTGACCTCTTAAGTTTAATTAGCTATATTGATGATGGTTAATTGATAGTTCTAGCCAACCATGGATTTTAAATAAAATGTACACTTGGGCATAGAGCTTGCGCTAAGGAAATGTTAGAGCTGCACATCCTGATTGTTCTAAAGAACTGACAAACATTTTCCATTATTATTATTATTATTAATTTGAGACTTGAGTTAGTCACAATGCATTATTCGGTGGCATAACACAGCGGTCATGACCACAGTTTATTATTTAATTACCACGGTTTATTATTTAATTACCACGGTTTTGATCTTTTGAATAAATTTTTGATATCCATAGATAAACATTTATTTATTATTTGCAATGTCATAATTTCTAATAATTTCGGAAACAGATATGTTTTCAGCTCATAGACATATATATTATTAAAAATTCGAATCATAGTATTTTTATGAACTGCACATTTTGTGTACAACTGAACGTTAGCTCAAGCCCTGCTCGGGCACTTTCAATATCTATTGGTCATAAATCATAATATTATTTTATTTCATCGTTTTTTTTTTCAATTTGGATGATGTGACGTCAAGAATCAGTATTCGGTGTTATTCTGTGATTCAGTAAGTAGTTGTGCATAGCTATATAGTAGTGATGTGTCTTATAATCATTGACCTATTGATAGGTCCAATAGTATACCTACATATACTTGTGTCGACTTACGTAGTGTTGTTGTGACGTGTAATACCTGCAGATTCAGTGACGTAACGCAAAATGACCATGTGTGATTCAACAGCTGTTCGGCCATAGATAATACCACAATAATACATAAATGCATTATCTCTCCATCATTTTTTATTTTTATTTTAATCACTCGACTTTGGAATTCGATTAGTAAATAAYATTGCACATTGCTCTTCTGTAGTTATAATATACTTGACCACTTTTGTCAGTGTGTCACAATGCCAAAACAATAATAATAATAATCGTAACTAGTTGATCGTCATTGAAATTTGCATCTCATACTCGTAGTCACTAGTCGTTGCTTCTTTGCTTGTCCGGTGTCCCCTAGTTGTGTTTGAACATCGAACGAGTCAATTCTCAAATATCGTAATTTGATTTGGTCGATTACATAATTTACACAAGATGGCTTTGGCAAAAGGTAAATACTAAATAGTGCATTGATWTAAATTAAAACAATTGTCATGTTATAACTTATAAGTATATTTGGCATTTGCAATTAAAATTTAAAACAAATCAATTTGTTATTCTTTGTATATATCAGGTGTTTTTATTGTGGCGGCTAAAAGAACACCTTTTGGTACGTACGGCGGTAAGTTTGTGAAAACTTCATCTACCGAACTGCAAATARTAGCTGCAAAAGCTGCACTCGCAGCTGGTAATGTGGATCCAAAAATTGTCGATTCAGTTGTAATTGGAAATGTTTTAATGGTAAGTTTTTACACATAATTATACGCATATTGTATGTACATTATTTTATTACGTAATTGTATTTAATTCATTATATTATTTCAAAAATAATTTTATATTTATGMTCTTGCTTAATATGTAGAACTCGTCTTCGGATGGTGCATTTTTACCMAGACATGTATTACTCCATTGTGGAATCCCACAAGATCGCCACGCATTGGGTATTAACAGATTATGTGGATCTGGATTCCAGTCCATTGTTAATGGAGCACAGGTACCTATTTCAAATCAAACTTATAAAAAATATTTTATGGCTGTTTACATTTTATTATCTAATAAAAATAAAAATTAACAAGAATATTCTTATTTTGCTTAACAGTATTTTCACCTATAGTTTAAATAGCACTATTTTGTATTTTATTAGAGTATCATGTGTGGTGAGTCTAATGTTGTATTGACTGGAGGAGTAGACAGCATGAGTCAGTCCCCACATGTTGTTCGTAATGCCCGTTTTGGTATACCTCTTGGAGCATCTTATGTCTTTGAAGACAGTCTATGGACTGGATTAACTGATACATATTGTCAATTACCAATGGCCCTGACAGCAGAAAAATTAGCTGAAGTGTACAACATCACCAGACAAGGAGTAGACGAATTTGCTTTGCGTTCACAAACTCTTTGGAAAAAAGGTAACAATTTTATAGYACTTTTTAAATTCAAAATGTGTACGAATTGTGCTAACAAGTTTTTGATTAATTTTTAGCACAAGATAACAATGTATTCAGTGCTGAATTAGCTCCAGTGACCATCAAAGTAAAAAAAGCAGATGTAGTTGTTGATGTTGATGAACATCCAAAGCCAAAGTCTACTCTTGAAACATTAGGAAAATTGCCCACAGTTTTTAAAAAGAACGGAGTTGTAACTGCTGGTTCAGCATCTGTAAGAGCATTTCTAGTGTATTAATCTTATTTCATTTTAAAGGTTACTTATATTTTAATAACCAGGGTATATGTGATGGTGCCGGAGCTGTTATATTAGCTAGTGAAGAAGCATTGAAAAAACATTCACTGACTCCACTAGCAAGATTAGTTGGTTACTCAGTAGTAGGTGTTGATCCAAGCATTATGGGTATTGGTCCAGCTCCATCAATTTCAAAATTATTGAACCTTACTGGAAAAACCCTTAATGATATTGATTTAGTTGAGGTAATTTAAATTATTATTTCAAAAAGTTTTCTACAAATTTAAAATTGAATATTACATTTATGAACTTTTGAATTTTTAAGATAAATGAGGCATTTGGAGCTCAAACTCTTGCTTGCCAAAAAGAATTGAAACTTGACATTGAAAAACTTAATGTCAATGGTGGTGCTATTGCAATTGGACATCCGTTGGCAGCATCAGGAGCCAGAATTACTAGTCATCTTGTCCATGAATTAATGTAAGCTACTTTTTTGACACACTTTTTATTGGAACTTTAAAACTAGGAAGTATATATTTAACTAACGTCTTGACCTATTTATGTAATATATACATTACATCATTTTTTAGTTTTTAATGCTTGGCATATGTGAAATGTTAAAATAAGACTTGTTAATCTGATAAATATCATAAACTAAATAAATATTATAATGATCATTGCACTTTGATATTGTAACTAATTAAATTACATATCAAATCCATTTCCCTTTATTTTATTCTAATTTAAATTTTTAATGATTTCAATTTAATTTTTTTCATTTCAGACTTAATGTTTGATAAAAAAATTATTTTTTCTCAAAACTTCAATAGTTTTTTCTATCTAATTATATAAGTAATTAACTTAATTACTTTAAATATTGTATTGTATAATATTATACAATAGGTTTTGCTGTTATCTTAGAGATCTTAAAGTATTTAACCAGTATTATTATTAAAAACCCCAAATTATAATAATGAACCTACCTATTGTTTGGTTTTTAATTCTCAAAAYACCCCTTTAATTCAATATTTTAATTTACCAAAAGACGAAACTGATTGTATAACAGCTAAATAATATAAAGTTCTGATCAAGAAAATCATGTGTGGACATGATAAATAGAATTTAATTTTGAATACAATCAATGTAAATATTTAATACTAAAAATTTATTTTTTTGTACTAACAACTAACTGTGATAAGCTTATTATTCATACAAATTAAATATTTATTATTTTTGTTTCAGTCGTAAAAATCTTAAGTATGGAATCGGTTCTGCCTGTATTGGAGGAGGTCAAGGTATCGCTCTCTTGGTTGAGAAAGTATAATAAATGCATTATAATTTTAAGTAAGACTGGTTTTGGGATTGTTTTATAGGAAATTTTTTCTTTGATGAAAAAAAAAAAAATCATTTATTATATTATTATATTCAACTGTTATTTATTTATTTTTATAAATTATAATATTTACTTACCAACAAATGTGCCCATATATTTTATATTAAATTAATATAAGTATTTTGAAATTAATAATATATTTGTATTTGTGAAGTGGACTTTAACCTATTTTCATTTACCAAGATAAAGTTTTTGTATAA